ACACTAGAAGGAAGAGACAAAGATGATTACTACTACTACTACTACTACTACTACTACTACTACTACTACTGGCAACTGCCTGGGCAAGTCACTGCAGTTTTTTTGGCAAGACTTTAAGGAATTTAACATTTTTTAACTGTTGCTTGTTTAGAAGAAGCAGAGAGTCATATTATTCACAGAAGTATTAACAGAAAGCAGAAGAAACAGATGGAGCCACTAACATAGTAAAACAACAACAACAAAATCATGCCTTTGTCCTTCATTACATCAGATGCATACAGAAACTATTACATTTTAATTTTCAGAAAAAAAGATTAAGGGATAAAGAGAAAAAAGCAAGGTTTGGAATCTACAGTTTGCCTTATGAAACACTGGTCTCATTTTTAGTTCTGCCATTCTACTTCTTCTGAACATTTTAAATAATTGTTTTATCATTTACATGGACTTTGAAATTACCCACTCACATTAACTTTATTCTGTTTATTTGATGTACTAACAAATTTAGACCAATATTTTTGAACTGTATTTTTTCCTGAGCTCTCAATTTTTTCCTGCACATTCACACCTCTAATTTTGAGTCTTAATTCTATTTTAGAACTACATCTATCTAGTCCCATTCTTCTAATTCTAATCTTCAACTTTTTTACTTCTTTAAGGGTTGAAACAACACATGTATAAGGATCTATCAATTACTGAAAGCTAAAAGAAGCTAAAAGAAAAAAAAATCATGGGAACCAAGTTACATAAAAATATCTCCAAAATGAAGGGGAAACCATGTTGGTTGTGCCACAGTAACTCTGGAAGTTGCTTGGAAAAAAACTAGCAGGAGCCTGGGAGGAAGAGAATCTATGGACATAAATATTCTGAAAGCCATATCTCTGTCCCTAATATGCTGTGACAATCTCTTTTTCTGCAATGTCCCCAGGTTGTTGCCTTCCTCTTGTCTTAGTTGATAAGTAAGACAGACTTAAGTTGTCCTTAGCTGTTCCAGTGTTAAACTTGTGTTTTCCTCCTTATTCTGGCACCAAGGCAAGTCCAAGGCCAGCCTCAAGATTTATAAAAACTGTTAGCTTTTAACACCTCAGAGGAAAGTCAGGAGGCTGTAGGGACTGAGAGCAGAAAGGGTAGAACAGCAAACTTCATCCCAACACAGCTTTCTGCTGACTGTAGGATGGGAGAAGAGCACTTCAGCCCTGCTGTGGTGAAAGGCCCTCAGGTGGTCCTACTAGAGTTCTACTCAATCAGGCCGACATAACAGAATCACAGTAAGGCTACAATGGGAACTTTTTCAAAGCACGAAGTCCACATCAGACCATATTTTCTTACGTTTAAGGTGAAATGGCAATCAGAGTATCAACAGCAGCAACAACCATCTAGGAGCACAGTTCAGTAATTAATGAGGAACTGATTCATCCATGATTGTACTTTGGGACGCAAATGAACATTAAATGCACTGAAATTTTGAAATACGGTAGCTCAAAAGCAATACATGACAATAGTTGATTCTAATCTAATTGTATCTTCAGAGCCAGTTTGATGCCAGGCACCATAGTTGTACCTTAGGCACGAAGCCAGCTGGGTGACCTTGGGCCAGTCCCTCTCTCTCAGCCCTAGGAAGGAGGCAATGGCAAACCACTTCTGAAGAATGTTGCCAAGAAAACTACAGGGACCAGTCCAGGCAGTTGCCAGGAGTCAAGACTGACTCAAAAGCACAAACACGCAAACCCACATACCTTAACAATAAAAAAAAAAGATGTTGCTTGGTAAAACCTTGGACAAAGAGGCATTTCAGAATTACTGTATTAAAAACCAAAGTTGTTCTCTTCAACCATAATCCATAATCACAAATATACATATATCATATATGATAAATTAATCTATATTACACAAAATCTCAAAATAATTCCACTGAACATACCTCTTAGCATACTGGGAACAAACAAAACATCTTTCTCTTTCTGCACCCGTCCAGAATAGCTTTCATATTCTGCAGATCTAACTTCTAAGAAATCTTGGCATGTCTGTTCTATAAGAAATATGCCATCATCCTCTTTATCATGGAAAAGGTGTTCCTCTTCATCCTGTATTTACCACATAAATGTTTTTAGTCGTAACTCAAGGGCAGCAGAACTGTATTTCACAGGTTTGCAATCATAAGTAAGAATTTTTGTGAAGAAAATTATTTCCAACCATTTTTTTGGATTAAAAAATCATCTTTATCAGAAAATCTATACTTAATGTTTGAGAACTATCTCTAGAAAACTGTATTGTACCAAATCAGACCATTGGTCAACAGTACTGACTACAATTTCAGGCAGTATTTTAACACAACTGTTAAGCCTAAAATTGCATATTTCAATATACACACATGCTTCTCATAACATAATTTACGAGCAGCATACATGATCCATATTGACTTTTTGTTTTTGACATGGATCCCTGCCTGGGCATTGCTGAAGTATGTAAAAATGATGTGCATCGAAAAATTAGGCTTCCAATCCTCCTTAGAGTCTTATGATTGAAGCAGCGGATATTTCCCAGTAATAAAACAAATCCTAAACTTAAACCTCAGAGACTAATGCCTGAGTAAGATGGCACAGAACTGCACCTCACCTCAGTTCTGCACCTGGGGCAGGCTGGCAACTGAATCTAGAAAATAGCCAGAACTCCATATATTCCTTTTTTTCCTAAAACTGACCTTGCCAGGACAAAGAGTCTAATTTGTAACATTTAGTAAAGGTTTGGGATTAGAAGAGAAATAATGGAGAACAGAATAGAATAGAGCAGAACAGAACAGAACAGAATAATAGGTTAGAATAGAAGAATAGAGGGGAGGATCATGATATTAACTTCAAACTTCCATATTTTGTTTACTACAAAATACAATAAGTCAACTAAACATTTGTCTAAAGAGATGTGCACATGCTCCTTCATGATTACCATTTCATTCTCTTCTTGTTCTTCCTGATTGCTGAGAGCAGATTTCTGGTTCTCCCTCCCTTTGTCATCTAGATCTGATGCACCCTTTTTATTGTTTTGATCATCATCCCCTACATTCTCTTCCTCAGGACCAAAATTGAAAGTAAAGAAATTATAGGCTTCTTCAGAAGAAGGATAACCCATCTGAATCTAATGGGGAAAATAATTTCATTTTTTAAAAAAAGTTTCACAATGCAATATCTTAATACAAGTCAAGAGCTAAAGCTAAGACTCTGTAACAGAATTAAAAAGAATTATTACTATTTATCTTTCACAGAGATAAAGAACTGCAAGAGTAACTACTGTAAGCATTTCTGAGCATTACTCAAACAGTCTTCTCAAAAGCAAATGTTCCTGCAAACGTATACCAATTTTCACTGAGGCTCCTTCTTGAAACACCAAGTATCCAAAACCTGCACTCTTAAATTCTGAACTCTAAGTTACTCACTGCCTTCTTGAAGCTTGAATCTTTCTTGGCCCACTTGAAAATAGTACAGAAGTTGAGTTGAAATGTAACACTGACCCTAAACAAACATCAGCTTTCAATCCATAACTCCATACTGGAGAGTATTTGTCACATTTAGAAATATAAAACTGAACAGTTGACTATTGATCAATACAGAGTTTTATATTCATCACCAAAATATACTCCATATTTTTGGAGCACACTGAATAATCTGGCTCACTGACAGACTTTTATCTATAGATATGAATGGAAGAAAGGAAAAAAGTATTTCAGGATTTTGGGCACCTTGAAGCTGGTCCTACATCCTGCATAACTCCTCCTGTTGCTCTATGGGTCATGGGGTCATGTCCAGACAACCCCCCTCATCTTTCAACTTTGGAAGCAGGAAGCTAAATGCAGCTAATGGTGCCTAAAACATGTGTGTCTGGATCAGTTCCTAATATTTAAGTGGCAATTATTTATAATTCTGATCATATATTATTTTGTTTTCCAGGGTCACATATGCTCAGGGTTTTTTTTTTTTTACCATAGTGAATTCATAATCGCATCATTCAGCCTTAAATAATCACAAAACAACCTGAAAAGCTAACACTTTGACTGAAGCTCATCACCTGTGGTTTTTGTTTGCCTCTTCTGACAAGATCACGAAACTTCACTCTTGCAGACACCTTGCCTTCTTTTCTTTGTACTGCACTCAACTGATGATCACCAATCTGCAAATATATATGTATGTATGTTTGTATGTATGTATGTATAAAAATTGCATTAATTAACTTACATTGATTTCCTATTTTCTGCATAATAAATAATAAGTGTAGTCAATATTTAATTATGCTTTATGGGGGGGAATGAATGTGCATTAGATTTTTTATAAGCAGATAAAAATGGAAATATACGGAGGAAAGTAGAAGTAGAAGATTTTTAAGAATATATTTTTGGGCATAGCCACAGACCCCACCCCCTTTACTATCAAGAAAGGTCAGTGGAGATCAGCCGGAATATTAGAGACAGCAAACAGATGACAAGACCCACTCCAAACTGCAGATTCTGTACTGCGTTCCTTTGTCATCCAGTGCTGGGTTGTGAGCTGAGATGAGCTGAGGAAAGATGCAGAAGTCTCACTCCCACCACTTCTTGCTCACTCTCACTGTCATTTTTAAAGTTAAATGATGAACAACACTATGCAGATTCCTTCCATTTCCAGGGCAGCAAAAAGTTGTATGTCCAAGCAGCACTGACTGAACTAGCATTTCTCCAAAACTACAGACCTATAGCAATTCACATCTGAAACCAAAAAGAGCTTCAGAAGCAGTTGAGACCCAGCAGGTAAAAGATGATCTGTTGTCCAAATAAGAGGTCTTTAGTGACATATCTAAAGCAGCTTTGCAAGGTAATAAGCAGAAACTCTACATCTCAAGCTGGACTTCCGCCATTTTATTGGAGGTGGGGTGTCTTTCACTGGCTTAGCTCCCAGCTCACAAGACCTAGCTTGCCTTCCTGCCTCAAGCCCTTGAAAAGGAAAAGCAGGCTGGCCTGGCCCAGGCAGCTGAAATCTTGGGAAACACATCATCTTTGCCTCCCTAAATGAGGAAAAAGTAGTGTGTAAACTACTATGGGCTGCAGATAGATTCTCCTTGCCTTTCAGCTATCCTCGTTCTTCTTAAAAGGAAGAAGATTTAGATTATCAAGAAGCAAACCCACACAAAGGAGAGTCTGCTTTAAAAGATTAAGAACAGTTTCCAAAGTTCATCCCATATTTTTTTTTTGCTGCATTTCGAACAGAATGTAGCATCTAGCCACTCTTGAAAATTATGATCCTTTCTGCTTTACACTATTATTTATCAGTTATTTATGTGTCACTTTGCACCAGCACCTCTGAACTATTGGGGACACACAAAAGCTCAATATCTCACCCAAACAAATCACTTTTGGAAGTTCTGGAAGCTGCCAGACTTTGAGGAGAAAATCCAGGTTTTTGATCCAGCTTCCTGACCACAAGATTATACTATTTCAGGATGTTTAGTCTGCTAACATGAGAGTTATTTTAATATAATATCAATCTCAAAGACCTCTGTATATTTCAACACTTAAATTATTAACTGTTTTCCTCCAAACAATAAAAGGAATTGCTAATAAATATTAATTTACTTATTTAAATTATAACAATTCTCTACATTTAAAGCACGCAGAATTATGAAAGACCATGTTAGAAATACACCAGAAAGGAAATGGTCATCATTAAGGCTTTTAAGCAAGAACCTAGAATTTCAGAAAACAGATCTGAGCTTTAATATGTATTTCAGTGATCCGTTCCAAGTAACAGCAGTGGCCTTCTTCAGAAATGGGGATCTTGTAGCTCTGTTCAATCCTCTTTGGTGGTGGGAAAACTGACTTTTTTTTCCATTTCCAACTCTCATGAAATCTTTCTTTGCTGCCACAGAGGACTAAAGAATACTACTTTGGGACCAGTGCCTCCAGAAATGGAGTTTTCCAACCACAGCACCTATTCTAACCACCTTAGAGTCCTACTCAGTTTCTAGGACATTCATTATAAAAAAAATAAGCATGCCAATGTTAGGTCTGTTTCCATTTTTCTATATTTTCCCCTGATTTGGACCAACCAACTTGTCTGGTTGCTAATGAACTCATTACAAAAAAGAAGAAAAATATAGGCTTGGGCAGATGTTTTGCCTCCCTCTGGCCAATCAAAGATATCAAAAACAATGCGAAATTAAAAATTCCATCTCCAGGCAATGAGATGGGCAATTTACTTTTTTTTCTTCTCTATGCCCTCAACCACGGAAGTAAACTGATTTTTGTTGAGCTGCAGATTATCACTTCTTCTTCTCTCTTTAAATGTATACATACTTATGCTTCTGCATATCTACGGTGCCCCAAATGTGTACCAGCAATCCCCTACCAGACATCCCAGTGCTATCTCTCCAAAGAACCAGGTGTTATGACAGGAACTGTCAGGAAGAGGGACTTATGAGGTCCTACCCGCGCAGCTTTCAGCTTCTCTCTCATGCGTTCTCGCACAGAAGACTCTACAAACTTCATCCCCGAGGTGGATGGAATTGGAGGCAAACCTACAGAGAAAATTACATCGTGACAAAAATAAACAATAAAATCTCTTTCAAGGTTGAATTTGGTTGATGGTGCCTTCAAGGAGATGTCCATGCCATTTTCTTGAAAACAATATGGAAATGTTTTTAGCTATCTTTTTTTCAGAGTTCAGCTTACTCTTTCCTACAGCTTTCGGGATTTCTGGTAGTCCCACAGCCAAGTACTAACTCAGTGGAATTATTTATTTTATTCATGGGGAGTTACACAAATTCATGTGTCATTTCAGAGGGTTGTGAGAGCTGGAGAACTCCTGAGTTACTGAATGACTTGTAGGTTGTTTAAAGTCCTTTCAACTATATAGTTTCATAGAAGAGCCTATCCAGAAATCCAGAAGATTGTAGCTGCTTTCTAAACCATACTGCAGAGCAGAGATGACACCAAGCCTTTCTTACAGCAATAAAAGCATTATATTTCAGAGACTTGGCTAGAGAGAAATTATGGCAGCCACAGCTAATAAATCTTGCAGAGGATGACAAGAGAATTAATGCAAAAGAGAATTTCTCTCCTAGAGCAGGGGACGAAGACCCAAATAGTCTTCGTATCCAAGTTTGTAGATTGAGAGGCACCATGGTTGAATGGGGATCTTTCAGTAGAGTGACATCTCCAACTTTGTTCTTTGTTGGGGTCAGGCTGTTGCAACCACAGCACCTTTGCTAGCCAAACCTACAAGCACTGAAGTGTGCACAACGGTGGAAAGAAGTAGGACTCCATAATCAACTAAAAGAAACTGAGTCTCTAGAATGACTTGGTAGAAAAATAAATATAAATGTGCTAAATTCCTGGTCTCAGGAAATTACAGCCCTAAATGTATCCAGAAATAACCATGTGGAAGGAAACAGAATTTAAGGGCTGAGAGAACCCTCTCTTAGCTTATAAGGTAGGCCAGAGAGGAGGAAAAGGAAAGCCAGGTGAGTCCTGATCCAAGAATCCAGCAAACCATGGTTAGATAAGCCATGTCGTAGCATGATATGCAAACCTCTGTTCTTTTTTGTTTAAAATGAAACAACTACAATCGAGGTTTGCATTCATAGAATCTATACATCACTGACCTTTGTGTGAGAATTTGAAACTCATAAAATACAAGAAAGGCAAACATTCTGTGAATATTCTAACAACGCTTAAAACGCAAAATTGACTTCACGTTTTCATTTTTCTCCACATATCATGGGAATAACGTCAAATTCAAATAATCTTAAAACACAATTTTCCCCATTATCCACAGATGTTTCCTATTCACAATTTCTCGCTGATTAGTGGATTAAAACATTGCCTTGGAGTTAAAAGGCCAGTTCTGAATCCAAGATTGTGCAAAGATTAAACAATGGGAAATGAGAGACTTTGCTCAAGGGAATTCATAGAGTAAGGAAACTATTGAGTAGACTCAGAGGGGAAAGAAACTCTCTGATTACAATACTTAGTCATTTTATGGATGTCAATGGTCAGACACAGATGGGCATAACAAAATAAACATAAAGTTAATGTGCTCTTAGGGACATTAGGTAAGGTCTGAATCTGCTAAGATCCTCTTTCTCTCCAAAAAGCTGTTTTGAGAGACAAACTTTCACAAATAACTACAACTGAGTTACAAATGTGTATTTAAACATAAAGTAAAAACACTTCTGAAAGGGGAAAGAACAGAATTCAGAGAGTTTCTAGCAGGGGGGAAGCAAAGGGAAATGCTGGACTTGCATCAATGATACAACAGCATCATTGGAGGGGGAAGGATGAAATGTTCAATCCCCTGCCTTGTTTTGCCTTTGTAGGATGGGTGCAAATAAATACATAAATAAGATGTATTCAGCCCAGGAAAGGACTGGCACATTTACTTATTTATTTTATTTTTAACATTTTGTGAATGTTGATGTTTTGCCACTGAATTTCAGCATTGTAATCTGGGGATGCTTTGGAGCAGCCAAACAGGGGTTACGGATGACCTGTGGCTTGAAGATTGTCTACATCTCGATTATCGATATGAAGAAGCACAGCACCATTTTAGCGGTTATCTTCTCCCTATTCATGCATCACTTTCAGAGAGTAAGCAAAGCCTTATCACTTTTAAAATTAGTTGCCCTGATCAGATGGCAGTGGGCCTTCTCTAATAAGCAGATAACACAAACAATGTAGTATTTCTGTCTGCATGGAACAAGGATGGGAAACAGTTGGCCTGCCAAAGGTTGCTGAGATACAGCTCCTAGTATTCCTTATAAGTGACCCCAGCAGAATTAAGAATGCTGGGAATTGTAGTTCCATAAGGGTACATCGTCCCTATCCCTTGAGAAAATGAAGGTGATAATCTATTTGTCTATACTTTCTCATAAAAGGTATATCTGTTTTCCCCTCCTAAAAATGTTTCGCAAGAATGGCAACACATCCAGTTGCTGCTCTTTCCAGCTTGGGATGACCATTGAAGAACATCCCCCCCCCCCCAAATGACTAACATTTAAAAATCTAACACGTTAAGAGTCTCACACTGTGATCTTCTGTGATCCCAGTTGCTTTGGGTCCTAAATTCCAAGACAGCTGTTAATGCCTGTTTTAGACAATGAGCAAGATTGGGAATAGTAAAGAAAGGTATTTTACTTTTCTCTAATGCAGTAGTAGGGAACCTGAAGCCCCCTGCTTCAAACGTCTCTCGCTACCAAGCAATTCTGCCCCCCTGCAAATTCTCTCGGCCCTTCTGCAGCAGTCTCGCCCAAACAAAAGGGGTCTCCAAAATAATGAATGATAGCCAGGCACACCTTTAGCTCTGCCCCACCATCCTTTGTTCAGGCTCACCCTCCACTGGCATGGGGGGCAACCCCTAACTTAGGGAGGAATGTGCCACTCCTGTTCAGCTGAACTCCTCCCCATCAGGAGCATGCCATTAAATATAGACTAGTTAGTCAGAACAACAACAGACCAGCCAGCCAGAACAACATACAGGTGAAACTCGAAAAATTAGAATATCGTGCAAATGTTCATTTATGTCAGTAAG